ACTTAAAAAAGAATCTTTTTTATGTATAAAATGTACCTTCATGAAAAAATTATTTTGCTGTCTTGTATATGATGGAGATTTCTGATTCAAGGACTATATCTAGGGTAAATGGGAGAGTCAAAATTATCAGTTAATATGACAGAATACAAGAAATGGAGAACCAGTTTAATAGGCACTTTTTAAAGAACATGTTTCCATATCCAAATAGCAAGCAATACTAATATGCTAAAATTAAAAAATATCTTCCAGGGTCGGCCCGGTGGCGCACTGCTACAGATCCCACATACAGACTGGCCGCTCACTGGCTGAGCGAGGTGCGGGAGCAACACCGAGGGTTGTGATCCCGTAGCCGGTCCCGGTCCGGTACGGGCGCGACACTGAGGGTTGCGATCCATTGCCGGTCACAAAAAAAGACAAAAAGGGAAAAAAAAATCTTCCAATAAGATGAACTTAATTTTTTGGCCATTTCTACCTGGATCAGCTAGAAAGATTAAACTTCCTAGTATCTAACTGAAAACAGTAGAAAGAAATTAATATGTCACCTACAGCAAACTCTAGAAATCAATACACCATGTCAAAGAAGCCCATAAGGGAAATCTGGCTGCACTGTGTAATTTATTACAGATGTGTAATAAATCAATTTGTTACAGTGACAGTTATCTCTAAAGCAGTGTAATGGTTGATAGATAACAAAGAAGTTAGGTTAGACACGGGCAATATTCAATACAGCCTCACAAGGTTTTTTTGGTTTTGTGTTTTAAATTTTTTAACGAGTCTGTTAAATCATTCATTTGGAAATAAATAACTCAAGATAGATTTCTAGAAGCATTATTCTAACTTTAACATCATCAATCAGTCAATAAATTTTTTAAAAACATTTTCAGAAATTTATTTATTCAACAAATACTGTGGAAGACATACTATGTGCACATCATTGTCTCAGATGCCAGGAATACAATGATAAGCACAATCAAAGGTGCTGCCTTTTTGTAGGAGGGAGACCGATATTAATCCTAAAATAATGAAAACATATAGAAAATTATTAATGTTACAAGTGCTATAAGGAAAGATAACACTGTAAGAGTCTCTATGAAGGAAATTTGACTAATCTGGGAGAAGAAAGGCAAAGACACTGGAGTAAGAAAGCTGAAGAAAGGATAAGAATTAAGGAACTGTGTGGGGGAGAGGGGGAAGGGGAGTTCCATGGTCGAGAACAGCAAGTGCAAATGCCCCAAGGCAGAAAGTAACATGGGTGATATAGGTAACAAACTCCATTATGCTGAGCTGCTAAAGACAAAACAAAGTAATTCCAGAGATGAGGCACAAAGGCAAAAAAAGACCTAGTTATGACAATGATGAGAATACACCCTACTTAGTGATAAATTCTAAATAATACTCAATTTATCAACAAAATCTTATGCTTCTCAGACCAAATAATCTGAATACTGTCTCCCTAGGACAAGAAAGTATACTTATATAATAGGCTATTTTCATCCTCAAAGTATCATTGCTGGGCTCATTCTTAACGCCACTTTGAGAGGTACCCATAATTTATATTTAATCTGAGAATTAAAACCAATCCAGACAAGTAGGAAGCAAAAAATAATAAATTTTAAAAATTTTAATCTGTGCTATATCCTTAAGAAATAAATTAACATAAAAAATATAGTAGTCAAGAACTAGTAATCCATTGAAGACATTCCTTACAACATTCTCTAGAGGTTCTAAGCCTTTAAGATACAACTAAGCATACAGAATCTCTGCAATTGGCAAGGATAATAGTTTTTCATCACTAACAGAAGATGTTATTGTAGTAATTTACACCAAGAAAGAGACCAGGAAGGAAAACAAAGGAAAGAAAAAAAAAATAATCAACTCCCATCTGGGAATCTAATCACAGTAGCCTAGTTCTGATTCTTCACACACACACACACCTACACACACCTACACACACACACACACCTACACACACACACACACACACACACACACACACACACCAAAATCCGTGAATCCTCAAGTCCCTTATATAAAATGTCAGAGTATTTGCATATAACCTACCCACATTCTCCTGTATACTTTAAATCATCTCTAGATTACTTATAATACTTAACACAATGTAAATGCTATGTATTATTTTTATATTTGTATTTTTGTGTTTCATTATTTTTTATCTCCCCTCCCCCTGAATTTTTGACCTGCACTTGGTTGAATTTACATATGGAATCCACAGATATGTGGGGCTGACTATATTTAATAAACCTCCATTTAGAAAGAAGTTATTTGGAGAAGGCAACCAAGTCACTTAGCACGCATGCTCCCCTATCCCCTACCCCACCCCAAAAAACCAAAACAAAACAAAAAAAACACCGAGAAGGTTAAACCGAAAGAGTCAAACATCCACTAGATCTGGCAAGGTGCAAATCCCAGGCCAAGCACTGTTCGCGCCCAAGCACAAGGACACCTCACATGAAGTGGTTATGCTTTGGGTGCCACAGGAATTTCTTAAACCATTCTTGACCTTTATAGATCCTTTATAACATATTTATAGCTTCCAGAGACAGCATACTTTTTTCACATTTCACAAAGGTCCTCAGATTTACTGAAACAATGACTGCCTCTATCAATACAGTTCTTCCAAAAGCACTTTATTAAGAACTGACTATTTTGTAAATAAGCCCTCAGCAATCTCCTCTACATATTCTCCTGAACATCAAGAAGAGAGGGCTTTCTGTCATCCTGTAGAAGGTGCAAGATGAATGCACAACATTTCCCAAATCTGTTTTCTCAAAACTAGTTTATCTTAGGGAGATATTCAGCAGTAAAAGGGAGCCACAGTCCCATAGAGAGGGAAAACAGCAGGTGTTTTTCATTTTAAAGAGGTTTCCTTAACTGCAGAACTTCTAATTATGAATCTCTCACGAGGGGGATGGTACGGGCAATATTTCCCATGCGTACTTGACTCCTATCATGTCAGTGAAGTGTCCCTACTGACATAGGAGTAACGGTCCATATTATAAACGATGAGAAAGGCTGGCACTCAACATTGCACAAGGCAGCTGGCCTTTTGACAATGATCCAAACAATAGCCTTACCTCATTAAACTGTAATACCAAGAGAAAATGAAAATAAATAGGTAGACATTTCCTTATATTTAAGTTTTCATAATATAACCTACATCTAAATGAGTTAACATGCTCTGTTCCTTTCTCATGATTTAAAACTAAATAGGCCCTAAACAGGCAATTTGTGGTAACTATGAGAGATTCTATAGTAGCTAAGAAATTCTTACTGTCAAATATCTAAGTCTGAATCAAAGATAAATACTGATAGTATTGTACCCTATACATCACTAAATCTCTACAGCAGAGCTCTAACTTCTCTAAAACCTCAACTTTCATCATTTCATCACATAAATATCTTCTCAGTTAATCTTCAGCCAAAAAACTGTAGTTATGAATACAAGTTTATGTACGTTCCAATATTGATTATCTTTTGAAAATCAAAACTAATTCCTATATGGGCAAAACAAAAAAGATCTGGAATTTTATGTGAAGTTCAAAACAGTTACAGTACTCTTCAGAAAAATAAACGTACAGCAGTCCTCCTTTATCTGTGGTTTCGCTTTCTGTGGTTTCAGTTACCCATGGTCAGCCATGGTCCAAAAATATTCAATGGAAAATTCAAGAAATAAACAATTCATAAATTTTAAATTGCAGGCCATTCTGAGTAATGTGCCGAAATCTCTCACCATCCACACTGTCCCGCCCAGGATGTGAATCTTCCCTTTGTCCAGCATATCCACACTGTATATGCTACCTGTCCTTTAGTCACTTAGTACCCACCTGTTATCAGACCAACTGTCATGGTGTCGCAGTGCTTGTGTTCAAGCAACCTTTATTTTTCTTAACAATGACCCCAAAGCTCAAGAGTAGTGCTGCTGGTAAAGAGAAGTTGTAAAGTGCTTCCCTTAAGTGAAAAGGTGAAAGTTTATCGTAAGTATGTATATATAGGAAAAACCATAGTGTATATATAGCGTTTGGTACTATCCGAGGTTTCAGGCATCCACTGGGCATCTTGGAAAGTATCCCCCATGGTTAAGCAGGGGACTACTGCACCAGGATAATGGCACAACACAGTGAAGTCCTTTAATCCATTTCTTGGAGAAACATCAAACTGGATGGCTTTTATTTGTTAATTACATCTCATTAAACTCACGTCACTCTTCAGCAGTACATGTAACTCAAATAAAATGATCTTAGCTAGTTGTATTGCCTTCTGTAAAACAAGTATCTTAATACACACAATATATCAAAACAGGCAGGCTTTGTCGGTGTCCAACAGGTTCTGTTTCCCTGCATCTCATCTTAAAGCTGTGTCTGTCTCTCTTAGCAAAACCATAAGCCTCACTACACTGAATGACCATAATATATTTTTTTGGAAAACAAAACGAGTTAGTTGGCTTTATCTACTATCACTATTACAGAGCCTGAAGCTCAATACCTTGAGGAGCAATAAAACTTGGTCTGAAGGCCATTAGAAATACCTCCCTAGCTTCTGGTCAATCCTGTCCAATGTAAAATTTCCTGTTTCCAAGAATCTTAAGGTTTACTTCTCTCCACCATGTATTCTATTCATCAGGGTCATCACAGCCATTTGAGGTCAAAGATAAAAAGCAAGGAAGAATTCAAAAGATAAAAAATACTAAGCAGATGGTCAAGAGAGAGAACAAGCAGCATGAGAAAACATGAAAGAGCTCATAAATGACGAAACCAGGACAGAATTCCAAGTGAAAGAAGATGTAAGCAAGAAGTGGGCAAGCACAACTGACCAGAAGTGGTCACGTGTTTACTATATTGAGTTTTCCTGCCAAACACTATTATCTACTCTTCTGGGTTCCCAGCCATTCTTAACATGAAAAAAGGTATTTATTTCATCATAATGATGAGGCTATTCCTTTACCACGAACAATTTAAAGACCCAAATGTAATGCTCCTTACCTCCTGGTCTGTAGACAACATCATCCTCAGTTATGTAGGATGTTATCTCGCCAGTCTCGGTCCTTTCATAACGAGATTTTTTTTTTGGTGGTTTCTTTTTATTCTTCTTTGTGGACTCCTCCGTGGTGGCACTATTGTTGTCATTGTCCTCATCTTCACTGTGATCACTCTCAGCATAATTTTTGGCTCCTCCTTCCAAGGTACAGCTCCGGCGTGGCCTCGAATTCTCATTCTCTCTTGCTTTGTCTCTTTTATCTCTCTCTCGGTCCCGATCTCGGTCCCGGTCCTTCTCTTTGTCTTTGTCTTTGTCAGTTGTCATGATTCGCCACGTGCCTTCTTCTGTCCTCTCACGGCTAGGCCTCCGTGAAAGGTAGACAGTAAGCCTGGGCTTCAGTCTTCTGAATTTCTCACTCAATTCAAGGGAAAATCCAACCACTCCAACAACCCCAACGTCTCAAAAATGCTAGGAGAGGAAAAAAGAGAAATTTGTTTTACTTTAATACTTTCTCGTAAATTAATGTTTTGTTAAATGAATCTCTTTACTTGAACCTAAAAACTTCTCACAATAAAAAATTAGAACAAGTGATATAAAATTTAAATATACAGTTTTTGGCCTCAGTTAAAAAAATGGTTTCCTACTACACCAGTAATGACAAGTGGCCAAATGCATAAGACTAAACTATACTTCCTATACATCAATTTTCTCCTTTTTAAGGAAAATTAAATTGTACCCTAGTGCACAACATACAATGGGTATAATTATACAAAAAGAACTTCATAACCCACAACATCAATGTAAAGGGAGAAAACCCTGCAGTAAAAATGATTTCCACCTGAAAAAATAATAATTTGGATAGCCATGAAAAATATCTCAGGATGTCACAGAATGCACTAAATTCTGCAAACTATTTCTAGGTACTTCTCCAAACTCCCAAAGCTCCTTTTAAGAATAAACATAAGATTTGGCTCAAATGAAAGTGACAGCCTCAAAGCAAGATTATTTCATCTTCAATTACTTTTACGCATTTTCTCTAATCTGCTGTTCTAGGAAAAATGATTTCTCTAAACAAAACATATAGCTTCTGGAAACAACCTTCCATCTCTAGAGAATATTAGGTGACTTTTACATTCTTCCAAATTTCCGCTATAAATAGCTTCCCTAATAAACTCCTCCTCAGAACTAAACCCAACAAGAAAAGTCTGCAGTTTTTAAGAGTTTGTAATGAACAGAATGAATCCCAAACTCCAACCCAACATAGTTATAAAAATTTTAGGGGGGGGGGGGGGGGGAAACTTTGCTTTACAAGCCAGTTTTGGAACAGAACTAATTATCAATAATTTATCTTTTGCAATCTTTTATCATCTTCCCCAATATCTCATCTCATTTGTTCAACAATCTTTATTAAATACTGTCTATGTGCCAGGTGTAATTGTAAAATTACAATGATGGAAAAATTCATAGTCCTTGCCCTCAATGCTCAAATGCAACAAGAAGCAGCAACTAATCAATCTGAGCACCATCTGTTTCTCAGGCTACTAGGGCCAGGTGGGAAAAAACACATGCAAACAAACAATAGATTGGTCCTCTTTATTTAGACAACAACAAACAAATCGGTGTGCAATTATATGCCTCAGATGCAGAGAAAATTCTCTTTGGTTATGCCAAGGCCATAAAAACAATCACATACTCTCTCTTCAAAGTTCTTGGTTTGACCTCATATGAGAAAAGACATCCCATAAGTATATCAAATATCCTTAAGCATTCAGGAAAATTTAAAAAATGTTAACAACAACCTTTGGGAGACAGACCTATCAAAAAGCAATGACACTGACCATCCATAAGCAAGGTCAGAAGGTTGAAAGCATGTAGCACAAGCCTAGATTACTTCCTTCTACACAGGAAATATGCTTTTGGATAGGACTTAGATTTTCTAAACATATTTCAAGAAAAGGAAAAATTATTCTAGTGCCTACAAAAGTTTTGCATACATGATTCCTCTGTTAAACAGACAGTAATAAACTCCAAAATCCCTGTAGGCCACTAGTGTTAGCAATTGAAAATACACAAAGAGACATATTACTTTCTCCACCAGGCTTAAGTTTAGAGCATGAACAAGCCAATCATGCAAGAAAGAAAACTATCAGCTAACACAGTTGTTAAAACATTCCTCTTTGACTTGAAAACCTACCAAGGTCCACCAGGAGTCCAAAATGAACAAGGATCTTAGGCTGAAAACCGCCTCCTCTTTGTTGCAGTTTAGGACAGAAACACTTCTGATAAGTTTAAGAAAAAGATCATTCTCCCTAGGGTTAACAAGATAACTACTCCAGAAAATTCTGTAAAAAATATTATTTCAGCACTCAAACAAGAAAAAATAATAAACCCAAATTGTACATTCAATACTACTCACTACAAAATCATACATGGTTTCTACTGACAAAGAAAATAGAGTTGTTTCTGCCAAGAGTGAGCAAGAAAGGCAGAAAAATTTAAGAAACAATAAATTTGAGAAGACACTCTCAAAATGAAATCCAGTATATGTATGTATGTGTATAAATATAAAATCAGTGTTCTTAGTTATCTGAAAGTTGGCAATATAAATAGATATTATTAATATGTAAACAATATAATATTAATTGTTAATTGCTAATAATTAATAATTAGTTACCTTAGTTATCTGAAAGTTGGCAATATAAATAGATATTATTAATATGTAAACAATATAATATTGTTAATTGCTAATAATTAATAATTAGTTACTTAATTATCAAGATATTAATTAACATATCGATAATATAATAATATATAAATATGGCCAACTTTCAGATAACTAAAAAGATTGATAATCCAAAGCAAAAGTCAATTCAATTATCATTTACATTTGGCTCTAAAATATAGCTCAGTGGGGATATATTTTTTCTTCTGCATGTAACATACTAATCATAATTTTTCTGAACTTCGGTATACAGTGACCAACATACACCAATAATGTGACATTTGAAGAAAGGGACCCAGAGAGGAACCAGATGGCACTGAGAAAGAGAGCTGTCACTTCAATTTGCTAGAAATGATCTACAGAGTAGACAATAAGAGCACAACAGTGTCTTTATAGCAATGTGAAATTTACAAAGCAGGTCCCTCTGATTCTTTCAACAACTCAGTGAAGTGAACCAGACAGAAGTTGTTATCCCCACTTTATGAACTACAAAACTGAGAAGAGATCAACTGCACAAAGCCACACAGGCAATGAGGACAAAGGCAGGATTCTAAAGCTAAATCTTATATAACCTAATTATGGCCTGCTGCTACCCCTGCTGCCAGGGTCCTCAGCTCTCCAGAGTCACCAAGTTTTCCTACATGTATCCATGCTGATAATTTGCACAGAGAGATTTAGAAAACATGCTAACTCTGCCTACTCCCTCTCCCCAAAAAGAAAGATATTTCTCTCCAGTAAGAAAGCCAAAATATTGAAAATGTCTGGGTCAATCACTGCTCAACCTAATGAAGCAGGAAACATACTTCAAATAACAGATAATAAAAGAAAGAAAATCTAATCTAGAACACATTTCAGATTCACAACAAGCTTCATCTACTCCTTGAACAAATGTCTACTGAATGCCTACTATGTGTTACTTTCCGCTCTAGGTGCTAGCAAACAGAAGAGAACCATATCTAAAAATCCCTGCCCTTGTGGAGCAAGGATTCTAGGGAGTAGAGAGTGACCATACATATAGGTACTTCAAAAAGTTCATGGAAAAACAGAATTAAAAGATAATATGAATCTTTCCATATATCCTTCCATATTTGAGATCTTTTGTTTTAATCTAATCTAATCTAATGGTGATAGGGAGTATAGGAAGGTTGCAGTTTTAAATAAGATGGTCACAGAAGGTCTCACTAGGTGGCTTTGACCCCGAGAGAGTTAGAAAGGAAGCCACGAAGACATATGAAAGGAGACAATTCCAGCAGAGGGAAAAGCAAGTGCAAATATCCAGAGGCAGGAGCGAGCCAGGCACACTTCAAGACCACAGGAGGCCAGAGGGGCTGGAGCGGCATGAGAGCAGAAGAGTGGTCAGAGAGGAGTTCCGAGAGAGAGAAAGGGGTGGGGGAGGAGGCCTGGATCCTATCCACCCTGGTGAGCCAGTATAAGGATTGGGCTTTTTAGTCAAGTGACATCAAGTGACTCAAAAGACCTCAATATAGATAGGAGTAGCAAAGAAGGACATGATCTGACTTCTGTTTATACAAGATCACTCTGGCCACTGAGGAAAACCTAAAGGGATGCAGGGGGTGCAGCACGAATACTGGTATGGGAAGAGGCTTCTTGCAATAACCCAGGGAAGAGGTAAAGGCATCAGAGAAGGAGAGAAGTCTAATTATCTATGTATTGTTAAGAAAAAAGTCAAAGAGGTTGTGCTGATAAACTGGGAGGTGAGGAGTGAGAGAAAAATAACATCAAGAACAATGCCAAGGAATCTGGCCTGAGCAACTGGATGGATGAAGCTACAATTATCTGAGTTTTGGGGGAAAGATCAGGAGCTCGAAAACGGATGAGTTAAGTTAAAGTAGCCTGCAAAGATTCGAGGGCTGGCCAGTTAGCTCCATTGGTTAGAGCAGCCTGAGCAACTGGATGGATGAAGCTACAATTATCTGAGTTTTGGGGGAAAGATCAGGAGCTTGAAAACGGATGAGTTAAGTTAAAGTAGCCTGCAAAGATTCGAGGGCTGGCCAGTTAGCTCCATTGGTTAGAGCAGGATGCTGATTACACCAAGGTCAAGGGTTCAATCCCTATAACAACCAACCGGGGGCGAGGATGGAGAAAAAAATTTTTTTTAGTTTTTAATTTGGTTTTTAAAGCCAGGAGACTGGGTGAGATCACCAATGAAGTGAGTGCAAATAACTCTTCTGATAAAAAATTTAAAACTCACAACACTTATTACTCATGCTTGAGCAAAGAGGATATTCAAAACAGACTTACAAATTACACATTTCCAAAAATGGTAGTACCCCTAGGACTCTTTTTTTAAGTATATTCTTCTGACTAGTTTCCTGATAATCAGATTGTACTTCATCATTTTATCTTAATTGATAAAATTTGGTCAGCTAATTTTGTTTTAATCTAATCAGGGTCAAGGCTTTCAACAGAGTCAATGATACAGAACAATTTTTCATTACTTCAGGTTACTTCAACCTCTAGAAACAACATTTTACCTCTTCATGAAGCCAACAACCACACCACAAACACCTCACACTACTTCTCAGAACCCATTCAGATAAAGTACCAAAATTTCAGTCATGAAATGGGTCCAGACTCCATTTAAGAAAACTACTTCCTGTCACTACTTCAGCTGTCCCAGGAGGTTTGTTCTGTCCCAGGACAGAACTGGGAATACTGGATTGAGAAACCAAGATCCAAGTTCTTGGCACTGCCATGTGCAGTACTGCCTTGGGCAAATCACTCT